CCCGCTGATGGTAGGCCTCGCCCCAGCGCATAGGCCGGTTGTAGAAAGGAGCCAATCGCCTTTCAGAACGAATCGTGCGATCTCCAACTTCAAGACTCGAAGGCCCGAAACCCTGAAGGGAATGGTGTAGGAATTTAGGGTTGAAGATTTAATGATCAGTGTAGTATGTAAAGCTTGCAGTGCAGCTTATAAGCTAAAGATTTCACAGTAAGGCGTTTGTGTAGAGTTGGGGCTTGTTTTGGGCAGAGTAGTATGGGCAACAATATGAGTAGCTGTAGCCTCAGGATATTTCGAACAGAAGCATGGCTCCCAATGTGCTGGTAAAATCACTACTAGTACTCCATAAGCAATTGGGCTTGCAGTTTTGCTGGTGCTGACAGCAGTAGTCGCCGTCGCGGTCGTCGCCGTTGCCGTTGCCGCCGTCGTTACGGTCGTCGCCGTCGCCGTACTGGTAGCAGCCGTCGTCGTGGTAGTAGTAGCCGTAGCCGCAGCCGCAGCCCATCCGCAGCTGGAGCCGGAGCAGTGGCAGTAGCAACAGCAGCAGCAGCAGCAGCAGCAGCAGCAGCAGGAGGGCGGCAGTAGTAGTCGCCGCCGACATCCTTACCCGCTTGCTGTGTTCCGCAAGCTAGCCTGGAATCCGAAAACTTTTCCTTCTAAGATTTTTTGCCAGCTTCCATGCGAGTTTGAGTGATGCACCACTGATTAGTCTCCAGGCACATCCCCCTCTTTTGGCAGACCTCGGAGGCGATCCTAAAAGACAGCCAGTACTTCCTCTCAAACTGTTCACAGCCTAGGGCCTCACCACCATCTAGGGTTTTTTTCAATCCCTAGGTCAAAACTCCATATATAAGAGAGCCCAATACACCCTTAAAATAACCGATACACCTGACATCATATGAAGGATCCCTGGATAATTTACCGTACCCTCCTTGGCTCAAAAACGTATCGGGCTCTCTGAGTGCCCCAACCCCCCTCTGCCTGAGCACCGGAACAGGAAGAGATGGCTGTGCCCAGCCGCGGTCTGGAGGAATATTGAAATAATATGCATGGATACAATAGAAATGGGTTTTGGGGTGGGGTGTCTGACTTTATATCAATGGTTAATTGGTCAGAACAAGGCTTTAGAGGCCGTCATGATTAGAACAGGGCTTTGGGGTATAGCATCGCATAACTAGATAATGCGAAGCTGCTAAAGAGCACTATCGGTTCCGACCCCAGTATTGCAGGGTCGAAGGTTGCCACTGACCGCGGATACAAGGACGCCGACTTCCACCGTTAAGGCTTACTGTGGACTAGCTGCAGGCTTCATCAAGGTTCTTAAGTTCAGTGCTTAGGATTTTGGGGTTCGGGATTTAGGGTTGCAGTGTTTAGGGCCTACTACACACTCTTTCAACAACCCTTGTTCTTTGGCATCTGGTTTGCAGCGACACAACCAGGACAGAAGGCACACCCGAAGCCCACAGCTTTAAGCTAG